ACAATTGTGCTATGATGTTCATGGTCAAACGTAGCACTGCCAAAATCGATTAGTCTGATGTCGGTCCTTTTAACGCGCCTCACATCCTTTCGCTTAAAAAGAAAGAACTTTTTGAAAAAGTTTAGCAAAGGATCATCTTTGCGTACGTACCGGTCGAGAAACAGAGAACGTTTTTTTGAAGCAAGAGAGAGCTCGTATAATGCATGACGAATAATTAACATTAAAAAATGACTCACCTTTTTACTATTGTACGTGCTTTCGTAATCGGAATCTACGAATAAGATATTTTCGGGTTTAAGATCTGTGTGCGTAAGTTTGTTGTCGTGTAAAAACTTGACTGCATAACAAAGCTGATAACCCATATGCCTAACATGTTCCAATGGATAAGGTTGATAATTGTTGTCTCTCTGTAACATATTATTTTTCTTCTTTTTAGCAAAATAAACAGTAAATAAAATATGAGTATTATTTCTTTTAATAATATTTCGTTATAGATTATATATTTACCAAAAAATCGAAAACGCTCAGTCCAAGCATCTCAAAGGCGATACACATATGTCCATGATAATTGAACCAGTCTAACATTTTGACGCATAAACTGAAACACACAGATAGATACAAAGGTATAATTAAAATAGAGTCTAAACGAAGAAAAAAAAAAAAAAAAAAAAAAAAAAGAAAAATTAGAAAGAACTAAAACGAGCGAACAGTAGATTTCGCAAAAAGGGATTGCACTGTTGCCCTCCTCTCGAGGCCGATGTAATTGCATTTCAAATACTAACTGATGTCCCTCAGGATCCTTAGCGGCTATCTTCTCCAGAGCATTGATCTCAAGCTTCGCAGCTTCTCGATACTTCTCGACGTTCTTGATAATCTTGAGAGCCATTACGTGATCCCTGCGTATGAAAAGTAATCAAATCGTTAATGAAACAACGAAAAACGAATGAATATTCAATCGACCATATTTATGCTCTCGATCGAGCGGCATTCTTTTTTCCTTTCTTTGTCTCTTTCATTTTTCTTTTTTCTTCTTGAACAACAAAAATGTCGAGATGGTCAAAAAAAAAAGCAGAAAAAAGGGTGAGGGAAAGAAAATAAATTTTTTTTCTGTTCAAATTAAAAATAGACGAGATAGCTGAGAGTGAATTTTCATCCCCCTCTAAGCAATTTCGTCGCTCGATTTTTCACCTACGACGATTTTTGCAAGACGCCGTCGAGAGAGCGTATACGACAGTTGCCTGGTAAAACAAAGTGCAAGGCCATCCTATTATTGCGACTACTCGCGACGACAGTACAGAGAGCGTGTCTATTTCTGATATCCCAAAGGCGATTCGTGTTTCCACATACAATATGCCACTTAGGATGTACGTTAGTAGTGTATATCTCCTCTCTGTGTTTTTTCGTGTGTGCCTTTACTCCTGGGGCTTGTAAGACTCGCGAGCGCAAAAAGATAAATAGAAGAAGAAAATTTATGATAATAACAATGTATGTATGCATGTATATGTATGTATGTATGTATGTATGTATGTATGTATGTATGTATGTATGTATGTATGTATGTATGTATGTATATAAAAATGATATGTCCAAAGAAGTAAAGGATATACGCGCGAGTAGGTTACCTACGTAGGTGTTTATGTGAGCTGGCACTTACATTTGCATGTCCTTAACCTTGACAACTTTTCCAAAAGTACCCTCTCCTAGGGTGGCCAGTACTTTATCTGCAATGTAAAAAACAGGGTAAGTTATACGGCGCGACACAGACCTTGCGCCCACGAAAGATCTCTCGTTCTCGATTACCGCGTATTGCGTTATTGTGTACTAAGAGAGAAAAAATAGAGAAAGAGTGAGAGAAAGAGAAAGAGAAAGAGAAAGAGAAAGAGAAAGAGAAAGAGAGAGAGAAAGAGAAAGACAGGTACACAAAGAAGATAGGTATAGATGGACAGTGAGAAAAAGAAAGATAAAGATAAAGAAACAGAATATTCGGATAGGAAGGGATAGGGGGCAACCTCCTGCTCACCTTCAAGATATGCCCAAATGTTAAATTATTTTCAAGAAAAATGTATTTCTAAAAATTAGCGAATAAAAATTTTAAATAAAAAAAAAAAAAAAAAAAAAGTAAAAAAGAAAAACAAAGAAAAAAGAAAAAAAGAAATTGATGATTCATAATACCATATACGGCCGGGGGATATATGCATATATAAAAAGTTCTCTTTTTTTTTTCTTTTCTTTCAATTGGAAATCGACGAAAAATTAAAAAAAAAAAAAAGAATAAAAAGAATAAAAAGTGATGGGGTAGGGGGTGAGAAGGAGGAAGCCTTCCCGAAAAAAAGCAAGGACGCGTTCGAGAGACGAAACGAGAGCGAGACTTCTTCCGCGTGGGCGTTCGGTCGGATCCATTTATATACGCGGGTATATATAAATATATATATATGTATGTATATATACATATAAGTGAACGGACGTGAAAGAGAGTGAAAACGGTATCGTTCGTACGGTCGGCTCGAAAATAATATTCGACACAACACTGCTGCTGACTCTTCTTTTCTTTTCTTTTTTTCTTTTACTTTTTTTTCTTTTTTTTTTTCTTTCTTTTAAACTTGGTCGACCCCTACTACGTGCCCTAAACCCACTATTTTTTTTCTCTTTTCTTTTTTTCTTTTTTCTTTTTTTTTCTTTTTTTTTTCTTGTTTTTTTACTTTTTTTATTTTTTTAAATGACAATAATCAAAGAAGACAGCAGTATGGTGAACGGGAGGAAGAGGCATTTACTGTCCCACACCGGACGGTTAATCTCGTATCTAAATAAGCGAGAGATACTCGGCATTGGAAAAAGGAAGAATGCGCATTTTTTTACGTGTACATTGTTAAGAGTGCATTTAACAACAAAAAAAAATATATATATATATGTATATATATGTATATATATTTCCAATGACGCAAGTGCAACGAGAGAGAAAGAAAAATAGATGAATAGAAAGATGTGTGTGTGTATATATATATATATATATATATATATATATATATATATGTGTGGTAAGGAAAAAATAAAAGAGATAAAAATAAAGATTAGAAATACAAAGAGTGAGAGAGAGTGATTGATTGAGAGAAAGAGAAAGAAAGAAAGAGAGAAAGAAAGAAAGAGAGAGAGAGAGAGAGAAAGAGAGAGAGAGAGAGAGAGAGAGAGAGAGAGAGAGAGAGAGAGAGAGAGAGAGAGAGAGAAATAACCGCCGAGAAAAGGGAGAGTAAATGCCAAGGCGGATTCGTAGACAATAAAAACCACGTCAACCCGAGGAAGACGCATATATGTTATGTATGTGTGTCGAGGAGATAGCGCGAACGAAACTCCCTCTATTCGCTACTTTTCTTTACGTTTAATGTATCCTCTATTTCTTTTCTATTCTATTCTATTCTTTTTTTTTTCTTTCTTTCTTTTCTATTACTTTTATAAATATACTTTTTCATTCTTTTTTTTTTTCCTCGGTTTTTATAATAATATATACTTTTTCTTCGAATGTCTCTTCCCTCCCTCGTGTCTCTCCGTCTCTCTTCGTGAATCTCTCTTCGCCACTCGTCCGTGTGACCGCGTAATGTGTCATCGGGAAGGACGAGGAAAGATCGTTAAAGGAAACAAAAAAAAAGAAAATAAAAAAAAAAAAAATAAAGAAATCAAAAAGGAAAAAACAAGCAGATAAAACAAAAGGAGGAAGGAAGAAAGATAAAAACACAGAGAGAGTGAGAGAGTGAGAGAGAGAGAGAGAGAGAGAGAGAGAGAGAGAAAGGGGAAGAGATAAGAAGCCTTTTTCCGTACATAGTTATCGAAAAGACTCGACCCGAAGAATAGAAAAATCTCTTTTCACGTTCCTTCTCTACGACCGTATTTAATCTGAAAGTGTGTTACTGATCGAACACGTAGAGTATATCGTACGTAAGAATCTAGATCGTTTAAGAGCGAATTTAAAAATAGAGATAGAAACTACGCTCCCGCAAATAGATCTTTTCGAAACGTGGATGACTTTTTGGAAAAAGAAAAGAAAAGAAAAAAAAGAAAAGAACAGAAAAGAAAAGGAAAGAAAGGAAAGGAAAGAAAAGAAAAAGGAGAAAAGAAGGAACAAAAAAAAGAAAAAAAAAAGAAATAAAGAAAAAAAGAAAGAGGATACACGATTGTACGAGAAGACAAAATCATGTACCATCTGGTGATGATACGATAAACTATGCAAGAAGGGTGTACGCGCGTTTAATATATATTTCGCGCACGTGCGCGTCTGCCCGACCGTATGTGTATGTGTGCGTGCGTGCACGCGGGCGCGAGCGTATGTGTTAAACCAAAAGAGCAATCTCGATGGAAAGTTAAAACATCGAACATGACTTTCGCGCGAGGTGTTAAGTTCTATTTTCGTTCATGGTGTATAGGTATCGCTTAGCCAGCAACGTCTATGAGTTGGACAAGGAGATAGATAGTTGAAGAGAAAAAAAGAAGGTGAGAGATTGAGAGAAAGAGAAGGGGTGGAAACGATCCAAGATCGTTCGTATGAGAAAAAAGAAAAGGGGATGTGTGTTCGAGAGAGAGAGAGAGAGAAAATAAGAGAGAAATAAAGAGACGGAGAGAGAGAGAAAAAATAAGAGAGAGAGAGAGAGAGAGAGAGAGAGAGAGAGAGAGAGAGAGAGAGAGAGAGAGAGAGAGTGTGAGAGAGAAAGAGAGAAAGAGAACGAGCGAGAGAGAGAGAGACTTGGTTTCCCGAGAGATACCGGATATGGAATATATAAAACCGTCCGATCGACCGATCGGATCGATCGATCTCGGGCTCGCTTAAATCTACTACAATGAGTGTATTCACGTATTCACGAACATCTATTTGCCAGGATGTCGCCGGATTGGTAAACAAGGTGGCCGTCTTCGTCGTCCTCGACGGAGGGCGGTCGTGGGCTCTATATGGGCCGGCGTAATCGGTATCGGCGGCGGCGGCGGCGAAGGAGGCACGGTGCCAACAGAGACAGAAGAGGACCAACCCCGAGATACCCGGAGTAGTGTGCCGTTTCATTTCGTTAAGGCCCCGGGGTTTAGTGTTCGTCACGTTGTGGTCGTAGGGGGCCCCAGTGTCGAGCGAAGATGATTCGACGAGAGCGCCCAGAAGAGAAGATGACGGACCCATTGTACGACAAAGACAGAGATAGACGAACGTTCGTCGTCATCATCATCGTCATCGTCGTCGTCGTCGTCGTCATCGTCGTCGTCGTCATCGTCGTCATCGTCGTCGTTGTTGTCGTAGTAGCAGTAGTTGCGTGTTGCGGTTGTGTTGTAGATGTTGGTTGGTTGAAGTGTCGTTGAGTTGCGTTGTTGCCATTGGTCATCCATCCATGGTGGTCCATCCAGAAGTGATTGGTCATCATCGATGTCGCATCATCAACCGATCGCCACACACCGTCATCCACCACCATCGTCACCGTCACCACCACCACAACACGAGGGGGCGGAGACCCGTGTAACACGCGGCAGAGGACGTGTGTAAGCACGGATCGAACGTACGAGTGTGTCGGTGGGGGTAGGAAGAGGAGGGATACACCATCATCATCATCATCACCGTCATCATTATCATCATCATATCATCGTCATCATCATCATCATCATCATCATCATCATCATCATCATCGAGAGAGAGAGAGAGAGAGACCACAACCCGATCCGAGCGCCCAGTCGACCATAGTGACCAATCCGTGTGCCATAGCCATTTCCATTCCATTCCATTCCATTCCATTACAACGGAGATGGTAACCCAACAATCAGAGAGAAAGGGGAGAGGGCAAAATGGTTTGCCAAGTCAGAAAGTTGCGGTTACGAATTTACCATCGGCACAAAGCACATATTTTTTCGTTTTTCTTTCTTTTAACCCTTACTTTCCCGTATTATTATTATTATTTATTATTATTATTTATTTATTTATTATTATTATTATTATTATTATTATTATTATATTATGCCATGTATAGTTTATTATTATTACTATTATTATTGAGATTTTATTATTTTTATTATGAAATTATTATTAATTTTATTATTATTATTATGATGATCTTCATCATCATTATCATCATTGTCATCGTCATCATCATCATCATCATCATCATCATCATCATCAACTTCATCATCATCATCATCATCATCATAACATCATTATTTACGTAATTATTATCCGACATTTTCTTTGTTTCTTTTCTACTATATTCTAACAATTTATATATACCTAATCTCGTCGTTAAACTCATCTTAATTTTGCGTGTCCCGAAGAAGCAGCCGTCATGATTTCAAAACGACTCTACTGTGTTTATTTTTATATATATATTTATTTATTTATTTTTTTGTTGTTGTACGTTTACTAGTGTTTATATATATATATATATATATATATATATATATATATGTATATATATGTATATTTATGTACAATATCGAACGACGATAGACTAATATATGGTTATCTATGATATGTACGATAGGCGGACAGAGAAAAAATAGAGAAAGTATCAACACGTGCTCAAGTCAATACGATATTGTTATGTAAAACGCGTAACTATATGTCTAAAACTATTATCGATTTGACGTTATAGTAATTAAATAACAACATGCATATATATATATATATATCTTTGTCGCGTTTTCTCCAAAGTAATACTAAGCCCTTTCCCTTTTCTCCTCTTGATCGCAGATATATCAATTACGATAGAGAGGTAACTACGTATGTCAATCATAAAATATAATTACGAAATGAAAAACGAGAAAATGGTACTCCGTTCGCATCAGTCAGTCATTATTAGCTGTTTTCTAATTAATTAATTAATTAATAATTAATTAATTAACGTATTTTTTTATTTTTATTAATTTTTTGCTTTCAAATATATAATAATACTTACGTGATCTAACGATCTAACAATCTTACATGTGAAACCACGCTTAAGTATTGGTTGTTACGGTTAAGTATGGGGTTGTCCGGAAAGTTAATGCCGATTTTTGGTAAGTGGCATAAGGACAGATCTGAATATATCATAACGATTGAAAATAAATGACATGCGTATATATCGTAAAAGACAATATTTCATATTGTCTTAGGAAAAAATTTGATTACGATACGTTAATTTTTGTACACCTTTGAAGAAAATAAAATGCATTTTAGGCATTTAATGCGTTTCTTTTATCAGAAAGACAAAAGTGTCATATAAGCGGCAAACAAGATATGCGTGAAGGTGTTGTAGCTGAGAGAACTATGCGGAAGTGATTTGCCAGATTTAAAGCTGATGATTTCAACCTTAAAGATCAAGAACGCCCGGATAGGCTCTCCACCACATATGAAAATCAGATTAAAACAATAATTGAGAATAACCCACCCTATACGACACGTAAATTAGCAGAAATGTTAAATATGTCAAAATCCACTATCCACGAGCATTTTCTAAAGCTTGACTACATAAACCGTTTTGATGTATGGGTTTCCCATGATTTAACGGAGAAAAATCTGATGGATCACATTTCCATTTGCGACTTGGCCTATATAAATGCAACAATGAGACACCATTTTTGAAGCAAGTAGTGACGGGGAATGAAAAATGGATCATTTATAATAATATTGAGCGAAAAAGATCTTGGAGAAAGCGGAATGAACCATCCCAAAAGCCGGTCTTCATTCAAAGAAAGTCATGCTCTGTGTTTGATAGGATTGGAAAGGGATCCTCTATTATGAGCTTTTACCAAACAACGAGACGATAAATTCAGAGAAGTATTGTTTCCAATTAGACGAATTAAAGACAGCAATTGAACAAAAACGTTCAGAAATAGCGCATCGTGTTTCATCAGGACAATGCGCAGCCTCATGTATTTTTGATAACTCGACAAAAATTGTTGGAGCTCGGTTGGTATGTTCTACCCCATTCACCATATATTTATCAGATCTCGGGTCCTCTAATTTTCACCTATTTCGATCATTACAAAATTCTCTTAGTGGAAGAAACTTTAATTCTTTGGTCGAGATAAAAAAATAACGTAGAAAAATGTTTCGCTTAAAAACCTGAGATTCTGAAAGAACGAAATTTTCAAGTTCCCTGAAAGATGGAAAAAGAAGGTTGTAGAATAGAATGGCACCTATATAATTTAATAAATGTATATTCAAATTTAAATCTTTTGCGTTTCAATTTTCTTTCCCAATCGGCAACGAACTTTCCGGGCAACTCAATATTAAAAAAACAAATGGAAGAAAAAAATGAATGCAAAAAAAAAGCAAACAAACAAGCAAGCATGCAAACAAACAAAAATGATACAAAAACAAAACGTTATCTCGATCTGCGTCTTATCAACGATCATAAAAAAAGAAAAAGAACGAAAAAAAAAAAAAGAATTTTTTTTTTTGGATTTCGTAACGATCGAAATCTAATCTAGAAGATTATAAAGAAAAATTCATTTTTTTTAATTTTTTTTATATATATAAAAATTTGAAAATACATAATATGTATTTAAATAGTCATAGCTGAGCTACGATATTATCATGCCGTTGATAAGATTTGATCTATGTTTCTTAATATGAAAAAATATATTAAGTTCGTACGATCGTTAAAAAAAAATTAGATCGAGTAGGATGTTATGGTTCTATATGAAACTCTCTCACGTACAAACATGGGTGGAGGGGGAGAGGAGGGGACTACCTACAGGACGCGCATTGTTTTCTGCTTACGAGTCGACACTTCACGCTGCTGGTGACTATATATGATCCCTAAAATTTTGCAAACGTCTATTTCTAACTTGTTTGCGCAATCTTTCTTTCGTACTTCTTTTTGATTTTTCTTTAAAAAAGAAACGGAAAAAAAAGGAAAAAAAAAAAGCAAAGAAAAAAGAAAACAGATATGTATATATACATATATTGATATGATTTTCTTTTTTATTTATCTTATTAATATTTTTATTAGTTAATTCATGGTAAGTATTTTATAAAATAAATGATCAGTATATACGTATATGAATATTTTGGTTAGTGTTTATAATAAAATAATAATACTCTAATATAAGTGGTCAGTATAAATAATTAAATGTCAGGGTTACATCTGGGTTGTTTCTGAATTTATTATAAATATTGATCTATTTAAAATACTGACAAATTATTATTATAGTTTTTTATTTTTTTTGTTTTTTTTAATCGCTATAATATCGATCATTTGTATTATGTATTGATATTTTATTACAAACACCGATCATTTATTTGAAACAATGATTAAACATATCAAAAAATATGGATCCAATAAATAATAACTTTTTATTTTTACGTATACAAATTAATGACACAAGAATTGATTTGGAAAAAAAAAAGAAAAAGGAAAAAAAAAACAAGAACAATTTTTTTAAATTCTTTACGTTTTCTAATAACTCTACAAATTTGAATATTTAAGCGAATTGATAAAAACGACACATCCTCTACGTATGTATATCAAACGTTGCAGACGTCAAACGTTCCAATTTTACAAATCACAAATTCGAAGAACTTTTGGAAAATATTTAAAAGACGCAAATCATGAACGTCACCAGCTTGGCAAATATCGAGAAGGTAAGAAAGCACAGGAAACGACGTTAGCATTAGTCGTTCGATATATTTCAATGAGATATTATTTAGCGAGTTTACGCATTGGAAATCCCGCAAGGAGGAAAAAAAAAAGAAAAAGAGGGTAATAGAAGCAATAGATCGAATGTACGGGAAAAAATCGAGCCTGATAGAGATATCGTGTTATCGATTTTGTATAAAAAGGAATTGTTTTCATGAAAACGAATGATAGTTCATATTAATAAGTACCATCATCATCATCATCATCATTATTATTATTATTATAATTATAATCATCATCAGCAAGAACAGCAACAGTAACAACAGCCATTGCTTGTGGCTCGACAACTTACGATCGCGTGGTTCGTATCCACCTCGTTAATGACAGTCGACGAAGTATTCGACGCATATGTATTCTTCGTGACTTCCTTTTTGTTATTACTACCACGAGTATTCTTCTTATACTTGCTGGCGATGATATCGGTTGTACTTGGTTTCGCATTTCCTTGACCACCACCAGTTGCTAATTCGCTGTAAGCCTCATCCATAGCCGCATATTTCATAATCAAACTTTGTATCTCTTTGCGTTTGGCTGCTCTTTCGGAAATAGCTGGATCAACTTCCTCGTTATCGTCGTAGTTAGGTTCGTACTTTGGTATCGCATCGTCCACAATACCGCTACCGGTTGGTGTTTTCTCTGGATCGCTAAGAACTTCCTTGCCGGCGACTAAGCTCAAAGGTTCGACTCTGTTTGGACGAGCTAAAGATCTAAGGGAGGTCGACCTGCAATTGTCGAGTTGTTCGCTTTTACCATTCCTATGTGGCCTGACCTTTCTATTGCGTGTCTCAGCGTGACCAGATTTGTGTCTACCGTAACGTCGATAAGCTTCCGAGCCTAAGTGTGTTTGTCTATCGGATGTCCTACGATAACCAGGTGTTTTCTCACGTTTCGACTCTCTAATGTTAACCGAACTGACATAAGGATAAGCTTTCTCGCTTAGAAGTACACTGGTGGGACTTTTAATGACAGAACGTGGCATCGATGGTTCCAATGTTTTCTCCTCCCTACCATAAGAATCTCTTCGATTAAAGCTATGCTCTCGTTCGTTCTTTCTTCGTGAATAACCAGCAACGTTTCCATTACCAAGCTCGATACTCTTCTCTTTATCATTGGCATGTTTCTTATTGGTATACTTATCCAATATAGAGGAATACTTGTCTTCTAATCGAATTCTGGCACTGCTAAGATAATTGCCAGCATTTGGTGATCGTCTTGTTCCGATCGATCGATCGTTAGCCGTCGAAGTGCCACGTACCCTGGTGGTCAATCGTTGAAGCAAATTACTGCAAGAATCAGTTAAGAGCTGTGTCACGCTGGTCGTTGTCGAGGAACGAGCATAACGACTACGTCGTGACGCCGATCCTTGTCTGCTAGTCGACATACCGTCGCGTTGCGCGAATATGAACATCGTTGCTGATCGATGATGATGAAATAGAAGAAAACTTTCAAGAGCTTGTTCGATGATCGATAATGGCGATCGGTAATGGCAATCAGTCGACCGTCCGAGGTACGGTCGACTCGATTGTTACCTCGCTCAGCAAAATCAATTTTCCACTCTTAACTTGTAAATAGGAAGAGATGACGCTGTTAGCTTGCTCTCTGTTAACAGACTAGATCGAATTAATTTGTAATTCGATATTTCCTTTTCCTTTCCGTTTTCTTTTCTCTTTTTTTCTTTGTTTCTTTCCTCTTACAAAATTCCCACTCAACTTGATAAAAGAACGTGTGACAACCAACTTGCACTTTTGCTAACTCAAATCCCGAAATCCTGATTTAGATTCGTGTAATAGTTCACAAAAGCAAATGGAGAGAATTGGTTTAATCCGCGACGAAAGACGAGCCAGTTAGTGTACTTAGCTCGAATGATTTAAAAGGAAAAAAGGAGGGGAAAAAAAGAAAACAAAAGAAAAAAAAAACACGCACGATCGAAGTGTCACCCGTACTAATTTTGATTCCAATATCGAGTTATGTTAGAAAATCGTATTAAGTGGAACTTAAGCGCGAGCGATGATAGATTCGTTGGACGAAGTCCGAATGGTCAGGGTCGAGGGCCAAGAAGATTGCTCGATCCACCGTGAGATGAAGGAGACACATCATTCAAGGTCATCATCGAAGAAGGTAACAACACATTCGTATTATGATCGACGAAGACGAAGTTATCTATCTCAAGACTCTTGACGAATGGAAAAGAGAAAGAGAGAGAGAGAGAGAGAAAGAGAGACAGACAGAGAAAGAGAGAGCGAAAGAGAGAGAGAGGGAGAAAGAGAAAGACCTCCAATGCGTTTTGGATCTTTTTCTCTTTTTTCTTTTTCGCGCGAAAACGAGTGCCACTCATCAGCCCTCATACGCGATACTCTCCTCTCTCTTTCTCTCTCTTTACAAGTCGATCGCGACGAACGCGTCAATCGAGAGGGACGCGAACGGAGGCACTAAGGCACGTCGACGAAGACGACGCGAACATAGGAGGACGCTGAGAAACGTTTGCGAAGACGAAGACGAAGAGAGGAGGGAGGAGTCGCGGGTACGCCCCGCCAAATACTCTCGTCGCACTAAAAATATCGAGGAGCGATCGCGAGCCCGCTCCAACCTAGCGATGCTCGTTCTACACATTCTCTCTCTCTCTCTCTCTCTCTCTCTCTCTCTCTCTCTCTCTCTCTCTCTCTCTCTCTCTCTCTCTCTTGGTGAGAAAGAGTAAGAGAGCAAGAGAGCAAGAGAGCAAAAGAGTAAGAGAGAGAGAGAGAGAGAGAGAGACTCGAAAAAGGGAAGAAAGAGAAGATAGCGTGTGATATTACGTAAATTGTCCTCTAGTCTAACTTAAAGGATCCTCATCATTCATTGGTAATATGAGACAATATAGTTACATACTATATAAACCTACAGAGAAATTGTTACACTATAAAGTTATGAATATATAAAAAAAAAAAAAAAAAAAGAATAGAGAAACAAAATCTAGTGACCAAAAAACCTATTAGAAGATATTAGTCATAGGTAACATTAATACTAATAACAATTTAGTAAAAGAGAGTGGGTTCATTCTAAAAACATATGTATACATAACATCGAAAGAATTTAGAATCTTAATAATTTGATATGATCATAGATGAAGAAAATTGTCCTCGTAATTGGCAAAGATTTCTTATTTCCTGGTATATTAAGAGAACAATGTGATATGACTTTATCATAGTGATACAATATAAGTCCAGCTTAATCCACAAATCTTAGTAGTACCTTGACACAGATAAAAAGATTACGAAAGGAACGGTTTCGATAGCTTTAAGTAGATGTAATGACATTTCGTCTCGTCGGTGGAATTGGAGTTCGTCATCGACCGAGATACATCGTTGAACTAGGCGACCCCAAAACTGATTGTAATATTTGTGGACCATTAAGAAAGAGTAGAGGAAAAAGAACGAGAACGATCCGATCAAAAGATCGATACAAAGATGGACGGGTTGATCGATCGATCAATCGATCGAGACGATTCGAGAAAGACACGAGAAGAGCTTAGATCGAATTAGAAATTAGGATCTAGGATCGCCAACAGAGAGCCCGGCTAGAATACCAGCAGTAGTAGTAGCAGCAGAGCATATCGTCGACATCGTCGGTCGACGCATATCAGTGGGCGGGTTCGTGGACTCTCCGCGTAACTATTAATAAAGCTCGGCTTGTCTCTTCAAGGTCGTAGTCATGCCTTCGAAAAGAGATATATATTGTACGGGCACTGCGCGATTTACCGATATATAAATAAGCGCAATTTGGAAAATAACATGAATTTGTTGGACATTCGAAAGTGATCTTTCACCAAGTAAGAAACGGGGATCATTGTTTTGAAAATGGAAGATCTCATACGCGTGTAAAGGTCACCGTTAAGATCGGGTTACTCAAACGGGAAGGTCTCTATACCGTGATGTATCGCTGTTTAAACCGAGGAAGATCGATTTACGGAATTGATTTTAGTGAGTGAGTCTTCTCGAACAACAAAGCACACGTAAGTAGAAGTCTTATTGTTAATTTCAATGTAATCATCAGCGATTTTTTTATTTAATAGACAATTTTGAAACATATATTTCGAAATATGTAACTAAGAAATCGAATTGGTTTTTTTTTCGTTATCAATTATTATTATTTTACCGTCTTCCACAATGGCGCATATTATGTTTTATTTGTAGATATTCGTAAGACACTGTTATTAAATCGTATACGATAAAATCACGGATTCGACAATTTTTGACATTCGATTTTGTCGATAGAAAAAAAAAAAAAAAAGAACCAATTGGTTGCATAATATATCTTAATGACAACGATTGCTTTATCGGTAGATGTAGCATTGATACTGACCAGTCGATGTTCAATTGTTCAGGCAAACAAAAGAATAGCAAAAAAAAAAAAAAGAAAAAAACAGTTGCAATGGGTAGGATTGGTAGGCGTATGATCAAAAACCAAACTGTGTTAACATAATCGGTTGAAGTCGATCGACAAAATTAACGATACGGTCAAAATGTGTTGTGTGAATTTACAGCAAAATGAATATTTTCCGTTTGTTCTGTTTGTTTGTAAGAAAATAATATTTCAGATTATTTCTCTCAAATATATTTGTTAGCTCGTTAAATATAAGCCAATAGTATCTATCATTTTTTTTCTCCCTTAATTTTTTTCCTATATGCACTTTTCTAACTCCGATTAGCTTCCTGGTTAGATTAAGTAAGGATAGGTCGGGAGATCGGGTTAAGCGCATTTCTAAGACGAAAGACTCATGTAGGGAGAGAAAGAAAAAGAGAGAGAGAGAGAGAGAGAGAGAGAGAGAGAGAAAGAGAGAGAGAGAGCCGAGAAAGAGAGAAATCGTAACTCTCGTTTTCTCTCGGATTTAGAGACGAATATAAATCGGCGAGAGATGGCGCCAGTATCTTGGCGGCCATACCAGTGTGCTACTAAAGTTGGCGTACACTCTCTGTGGGAGAGCATCGTGATGAAAGACATGAATATGCCGGCTTTTCGTAGATTACAATACATACATACATATATATATATATGTACATATATAATTTTAGTTTTGGTAAACAAACCGCATGAGGAGTTTATCGAAAATATATAGCTAACTTTTGGATTGATAAAAAAGGATTATTAAGAATGCTATTGGTCACGTGATAGCATAAGCATATAAGAAGAAAAAAACAGATTGAAGACATAATTCCACACACTGCCAAGATCCACACACGCCAAAAAAAAAGAAACAAAACAAAACAAAAGAGAATACAATCCAATTAATAATAATAATAATCCAAAAATCTCATCTCGTTTACGTGCTACCTCTGAAGTCGACGTGCCATTGGACTCCGGCGTGACATCAAGTTTAGCGTCGAAGCATCGAATATTCGTCGCCGCCCTCGTCATCGTTGTCATCGTCATCGTCGTCGTCGTCGTCGTCGTCGTCTCCGGGACATTCCTTGGCAACCAATTATCCCATACGGCCTGTCTTGGCCACCAGGAAACTGTAGTAGGCATTAACAAGCCTAACTCTTGTCCATTCATCGTTGGAAATGATGAAACCGTAGACGAAGAAGAAGACGACGAGGTGGTCATTGGTGGGCCACCGTCGTATGTTAACCAACACCCAGGATGATCCAGGATGGATTCTATCTTATTGGTTTGTTCTTTCTTCTTTTTCTTTTTCTTTCTTTATTTTTTCTTTTCCGATAACGGCACGAAACTTATGCGAGATAGGATAATGGACGTGTCTAAAGTCTCTCACTTACGACGCACGCATGCTGCCAAAAGGAACGCGTATTTCTAGATCCAGCTTTTAAAGCGTTTTCTGGGTCAGAGAAGAGACGTTCCCGATATCTTCCGTATATTTCTCACGAATCGGTCAACTTTTCTCTTTTCGCATGCCCCCTCGTCTCTTACTCTTCTTTTTTTCCTTCGTTTTCTTATCCTGTGTTGGATTAATAACCGGAGCAAGTATTTCCTTACGATGTCTCATTTACACTCCAGTAACGTTCACCTTCCTCACTTTCTACCATCTTCTTTGGCATCCTTTTCAGGAGCAACCATCGATCCATAACGATCGATCGAAGAGGAACTGAAAGATGCTACGTTTAGATATAAAATTTCTCCGTTCGATTCGATTTTCTCCAATTGATTGGACGACGACCTCGACGACGGCGACGACGACGACGACAACGAGGACGACGGCGACGACGACGAAGACGAGGATTTATCCCTGAGAAGGAGGAATAGGAGTAGGAGGACGAGGAGGACGACGACGACGACGACGACGACGACGAAGACGTTGCACCGGCCATCTGGCGCAAACTCGCACTAAAACCGCGGCGAAACCGCGTGACGAGTCCCCCTCGAAAATAGTCCTCGGTCGAAAATAGCCGACGCCGAGTAAGAAAGAAGAATCATCGGCATTCGCTCCGGTACGCTAGAGAGAGAGAAAGAGAGAGAGAGAGAGAAGCTTCGTTGCGCCACAAGCTTCTCCAGAGCTCAAGAATTTGCCTCGTATCGCCTACCGAAAGTGATTCTCTCTCTCTCTCTCTCTCTCTCTCTCCTTTCTTCTTGTTCTTCCTCTTTTTCTTCTTCTTCAATTTCATCGTGACGCTTTATCTCTGCGACATTGAAGTTGAGCTTCGATACGAAAATGTTAGCACGATACCATCTCTTGGGTGTCTCGTATCAAACGTAACGACGCAGAAAAGAAAGTCTAGCTCAGGAAGGAAGTAGAAAAAGATAATGGAAAGAGGAAAGAAGATGAAGAAATCTAATGGGGATAACAAACGCTTATAACTCACTAAAAGTAGAATTCTCGTATTTCTAGGTAACGGACAATCTAAGGTGTTTACATTTATCATTCCTATTAGATGATTATCTTTTCTAAAATAAAAACTTTCTAAAATATGATATATATACATATACATAAAAGAATCGTTGATTTGTATCAGCGATGTTATTTGATGTGAGAGTGTTATATAGTACAATAATTGTTGACTGTTCAGAACGGAGTACCATCATTTTTTTATTAGAAATTTAATATCTTTGAAAATCTCGTTGGCCGATAGAGAGCGCCACGATCGATGTGTTGACTATTATCGGCCATCATGTTTCATAAAGATCGAGGCCTGTCTCAGGGGTTGTTTTATTATTATTATTATTTTTTTTTTATTAATATGATTATTATTATTATTATTATTATTATTATTATTATTATTATTTCTTTTTTATTTATTTATTTTGTGGATTTATAAAAAACTTTCTCATTTTATTTTTTTTTATTTTTCCTCCATTCATAGAATATATCATGAGAAAATATGATTATTTTGTTTTTGACTTTTTTCTTTTGCCTTAACTGAAATCTCGTCGTGGTAGAGACGGAAGGCGATCATACAGAAAAAGGGAGAGCGCACAATTATGAGTAATATATATATATATATATAAATTTAAAAATTTCTTTTTGATTAAATAAATAAATCATTACCGGGGCGTGCTCCTTCGTTCTTTCATTTTTTTTTCTTTCTTATATCGTTTTATCTGTGGAACTATTCCAACTCACCTGACTCCTGGATGATGGCGAACGATGGCGATGCCTTTCCTGGCTCGGCGACGAGGACCCATGATGCCGGTGAATTCGCACGCGACGTGATGAGGTCGGATGCGCCAGGTGGGTACGATCACGATCACGATGTCCGTGCTGTCTACCACTGCTCGGTGAGCGACGATGGCTTCTTTTATATCGTCTCTCCTGACTGGTCCCGCGCTCGTGTTGCCGCGACCTCAATACCCGCTCTCCGCTAAAATTATCGAAAAATTTTGTTTATACATTTATGTATTTATGTATCCATTATAACAATAAATCATCAAAACGAAATTTTGTTTCATTAAAATTTGCAATATCTCAAGGGGTTGTTGTTACACAATGTTCTTTTTTCCGTCGACTGATTGTAATCAAATAGGACGGCAAAAATTTGTCATAGAAATAAAACATTAAGTAACAACGTGGAATTATTAGTTTTTAATTTACTTTACGCCCTTCTTAAAAAAAGAAGAAAAAACAGACCAAAGAGAAGAACGTTTCTAACTCCTTATAAATAAATCAGGAATGTATTTCTTTTCCATAGAGGAGGGGGAAAAAATAGATCAAAGACATTAAGTAAATATTTTTACGGGAAGGAAATGTTGGCTCTACATTTTTTTCGTTTCCCACGATAAAAACAAAGAACTTTTTGTTATTATCAAATATTTGATAAAGAAAGGAAGCTCTCCAAAGAAGGAACCAAATTTCGTGACCTCCACCTTTAAATGACTCACCAAAGGAAGTCGTTAGGATTGGTAATTGGGCAACGATCCAACATAGAGTTGAATTTCAAAACGAAGGATGGTTCCACGATGCGTACCCATTATACGTGTCTCTGTATTTTGTTCCTTTATTAACACGTTTATCGATCATTTCATATATATGCACGTATACGAATCATTGAACGATCAAATAAAGAAATCATCTTTTCCCTCTTTCTTTTCTTTTTCTTATTATTATTATTATTATTATTATTATTATTATTTCTTTTTAATAAATCAGTCAGAATATCATCGGTATTTCCTATATTTAATTATACCAATAATATGACAATATGTATAATAAAATAATTATTACGAACGACCAATCCAAACTTGAGATAAGGATTAAATAATTTAAATAAATCCCGTATAATATTTCTCAAAAAGATCCACTGACTCATTGATGAGAAATAAAACAAAACCAACAGGGTTCTAACAGGAAGAATTTTATAAAGCCTTTCGGAATGACGCATCAGCTGTCCAGATCAGTTTCAAGTACTTTTCTCCGAAACAGATTAGGTCGAACTACTTGGTTCAAGGTCGGTTAGCTCATAAAAAAAAAAAAAAAAAAAAAATAAAAAAATAAAAAAATAAAAAAAAATAAAAAAGGAAACACGAGAATAACTACAGAAAATAAAAATAATTGTAAGAAGAATTCGAAACGTTCGAAGAATCAGAATGTACTTACAGGTTTGTGGATATCAAAAGAAATAATTGAAAAAGTAAACCATCGACTATTTCGTCATCTATATTTCGATGAATGCACATGTGTGCATCTTCTCGCTTTCGTAAATGATACTGAAACGTATAGCGGGACAAACGAATGAACGTTACGAACGAACGATACGGAATCGTGTGATTTATTGGCTAGAACGAAAGGGATCGTAAACGTTAAATCGGACAAACGTCTGAAAGTATTTGAGATTTGGAATTGGATAGTTTTCAGTAGTGGGAGGATAAGGACGAGGAGGGAGGAATGGAGTACGACGTCAATAAGAAGTCACGATAGAAGAAGAAAGTTAGTAAGAGAAGGGTTAAAAAAAAAAAACAAGAAAAAAAAAAAGAAAAGAAAAAGGAGACAAAACGAGTAAAGGAAGAAGAAGAAAGTCGATCGAATCTGCAGCTTCGCCTTTTGGACACTTTCCAAGGTCTTACGATGTATATATATATATATATATATATATATATGTGCGTATGTGTGTGTTTGTATGTACACATATCGCATACATGGATATTAACACACCGATAAGAAAATTCGGAATGGATGATACGAGTTAACCGTGCAAAATGGGTCATGGGATTTTGCGCAAACGAGCAAATTTTATCCGCAATGTTAGATATCGCCTACCCACGCATTTAAACATGCCTATCACTTTCTTCTTTGTCTACTTTATCTTTAAAAGAATTCAATAAAGAGAAATCGATGAAGGGATGTTCCTTTTATCATTCTCTCTCTCTCTTTCTTCCTCCCCTCTCTCTCTCAAACATTCTCTACTTTACCGACCGAGAGGAAATCAAAAGAGGAATTCTAAATGTAGCGTCTTTTATAATAAAGATCGTCAACAATCTAATTTAAGTAAGGACTTTTTTGAGAATGGTCATCGAAGGATGATGAGCAAATAGGGCGGTAAATTCAAGTGCAGAAAATACACACACACACACACAGGGAAAAGAGAGAGAGAGAGAGAGAGAGAGAGAGAGAGAGAGAGAGAGAGAGAGAGAGAGAGAGAAAGAGAGAGAGACTGTAAACATTCCAATGTATACATTCTCGTCACCCTCTTTCGTAAAAGAAACTTTAACGACTTAACTTCTTTACCAAGTTTGCTCTCTTTCTCTTTCTCTCGCTCTCTCTCTCACACACACACACACACACACTCCGTCTTTTTTGTTTTCTAAGAAAGTGCATACGAGTGAACGAGAAACGCGTAT